TTCTTTGACACGAAGCGTGGATCGGAATCTGAGTCCTTGCCGAAAGCACCACTCGTTCCCGATCCGAGCCGAGAAGAGTCGAATGCCGAGGCAGCCCTCGTGTCCAATACGCGCTCATAGTGCGTTTCCAAACAATGGCAAGCTCGGATAATTGGCGCAGCACTTACTATACTCCGTTTCACCTGATGCTGTACCGCAGCGAATGCTAGAAGCGCGAGCTCATAGCGTTGGCAGCTGCCCTTGGTGCACGAGAGCTTGTGCCGCCGAGATGTGCCCTACAGCAGGGAGCTCGCGCTTGTATCCTTTCCTGCAGTACAACACAAGGTGAAACAGAGTATAGACGCTTTCAGGCAGCTGTGCATGGGCGCCGTCATAACCGACCTTCAGTTTTTTATTCCTCTTATTCCGTTCGCTTCACTTCATCATTGCTACAGCACGACAGGTAATTGCCACGATGGGTGCTACTGTGTCCTTTTCCCCGGCATAAGCTTTTGAAGAGGGTGGTCAACGCCCGCTTCAGTGGCTCGGCATTTCGGTAAGACGAGAGAAGGTCGGCTATGGCGGCTCAATCTGGTGCGTGTTTAAAGCGTCTGTAAATGGCGCTTACTTTTGCAAGGGGACTCTTCTATTACTTTTGACAAATATGAATTGAACTCCATTTAAAGGGGTACGGAAGCGAAATTTCAGCGCCTATTTCTTTATGTAGACGTGGTCTCCTTTATGACATCAGCTCACAAACACCACAGTCCTTTTGTTCGTAAACGCAATAAAAAGAATTTCAGAACGAACAAAACGATTTCCCAATACCCCCTTGGGGTTGGGGAGCCGAGATTCATTGGAATGTTTCACGTCATGCGCCCATCTGGAGCAGCGCCATGGCGCAGTGTGTCCGATGGAGTCGCGCGGGAACGATGGTGCTTGGCACACCTCTCAGCTCTAGTACACCATACCTGGGGTATTCCCACTTGGCGGGATTGTAACGCATTGACGTGAAGTCCCTTTATGAAATTCACGCTTCAAGGTACCGCCAACCATTGTTGTAGGAACGCGCAAGGCACCCATGAGCGGGTGCTCCACCGCCGTTTGCTTCCAAGGACCGCTCATTTCAGTGTTGTGTCGCCAGTGGCATTCAAGGGCCACTCGAGACACGGGCCTCGTGCACTGGCACATTTGATTCTACTTGCAAGACAAACTCAAATACAACCACATCGAAGGGCTTTACGTTGACGATAACGCTGGTTCCACCCAGTGACGATAATCGTAATTACGGTACCCTTGGCCCTGCATGGGCCCGGGTCTTTGCGAGCGTGATATCACGGGCAAATACCCCGAGACGCATCGCACCACCTCGATGGCTGATTCTGAAGCGCTCGCCGGAATCCGTCGGTTGGAACGAAAGCTATTGCAATCCGATGGAAAGACAAGCGCGTGATTATCATTTACGGATGTCATGAATAATATCTGACCCGTTTTTAAGCGTACCGGGGTGTTGTGTACTGAAGGTATGTGAGAGAGCGCGGCGCGCGAACATGGGCCAACAGACCTGCACTTTAAGAAAAAGTGAGCACCCCCCCTCGTCATCGTGCGTTTTGACGGCTGTAACTACCCCACAGGCTTACTTAACTACCCACTGGGCTCGAGCCATTGAGAGTTAGCACCCTGTTGGCAGGTGACAAGCATGGGGTAGTCACGTTTTATAAACTCTTGAATTGAACATTCAAGTGCATGCAGTCGTTCAATAGTAAAAGTCACTTCAAAAATCTCAAAAAGTACTTGAAACTTGTTTTCTTTGTGCGTTGGTTATCATTTATTCAAATTTGAACCGGTCGAAACAAGAGTGTGGCTCAGTTCGCCTAAACTGGCAGAAAACAAACAAGTACGAGCAACCTTGGTAGGCACCTGCTAAAACCCGAGGCAGATAAAAAGTATCGCGGTTGTTTTTTTTTGGTTCCGTCGCGGGTTTTACCATGTACAGCAGTAAACAGCTGGCAGCTGGCGTAGTGCTTGAGGAATTTAACCAAATCTCTAGAAAAGCACAGGAAGCTACGCACAGGCGTGAGTTGACTTGAATGTTCGCCGGACGAGATACTCTCGTCGTCTTTTATTGTGCGGTTCAGTAAAGAACGTGCTCTCAATAAAGGTGTGATCGGTCAGTTCTGCGTGCAGATCAGTTGCAACTGGCCTCCTCGGCTCCGCCGAACTTGCGCGCCTGTCGTACCCAATTTTTTTGCTTTCAAGTGCAGTGAAGTATGAAGCATTGAACACCACGACTGAGGCCGGACAGGACGAACGTACACAGATATCTGGGATCATGTCCGTGTATTTCACTATTTCTCTGTCTCGAGGTATATGATTCGCCTTCTCTGGTTCATTTGGCACATTTCATCGAGCATACTCGATAAAAAAATGCTTCAAACAAGGCCGGTTCAGACACTAGCGTTTGACAGCGTTGCGTCGAGAACCGAAAGCCACCCACCGGCACGTCTGCGCTTCGTATCAAGCGTGGAATCCAATTCAAGGAATCATCTTGGCACGCGATATAAGCAGCAGGGATGTCCTGATTTCTTGCTGCCGCAACGCAGTCAGACGCACGCAGTCAAACACTACTGTCTCAACCAGGATTTAGGTAATTTAGCATACGTATTTCGCGTTCGTTGCAGGTGAAGGCACGGGCCCGAAAGCAGAAATTCTGCACTGTCCTCTTGGCGCGAGCGCGAGCGCATAGAACGGATATTTAGCAAAAAGAAGGAAATTGAAATAACGCTTCGGGGAGGACCGGCGGACGGGCTTCACTAAAATCACCTGCGCGTGCTTAGTGTACTCAACGTGTACCCAACCGCCGCTAAAGTCAATCTGGATATGTAAAAAGAGAAAAGAAAATGCATCAGTGTGTTCAGAAAGTTGTGATTGCAGAAATTGGTTTCGATAATTAATACAATTAATTAAACAGTCTTCTGTATACTTGAAGTGTAGGCAAGCGAGAAATCGAAACTGTTCAAAATGTGACATGTAGCAACTATTCAAATTTATTTATAACCTGCAGTTCACTTTTGCAATGGCCCTACATTAGAGATACGAGCGCTTTCCTAAGGGCAGTAGAGCAAAAGAATATATACGGCTAAATCTTGCACAGTCTTTTCGGATTTATGCAAAATATGACAGTGGTCACCACCCTAATCGGTTACACAAAATACAGCAGTATAGCTGGTAGTGTCGAGTAGACGTGTGTATGGGAATGTAGAGCGTCAATAGGTGATGTTTTATCTTGAGCTGTTTCTGAATGCGCTGATATATAGAATGCTGTCATGTCTGTATGTCGCGTATGAGTGAAGTGTGGCGTGGGATATGTACATACGGCATTGTCTGGCGAGGCGCTCAAAGCAAAAACTGCTGGTTTCTTTTTTTCTTTAGATTGAGCGCTGTCCGTTAGGTGGCGCGTGTCGCCGCCCAATTCAAGGAGTCGCGCGTTTATGTGTCTACTTATTTGAGTGAAAAACATGGAGGCAATCCATAACTCCACGTAGCAGCCACAAAGGGTTCGGTCTGGTTCGGTTCTCGGCCTCTCGTCCAAATGGGATCAGTCCCATAGCCAGTTGAATGGGTGTTCCGTGCGGTGAATAGCGCCAAGTGCGTGCACAGACGCGGTGAGGATTACCAGGGACTTGAAAGTGGATAACGAATGCTAACAGGTGAGCAGGAGCGTTGAACGATCGGAACCGACGCCGCTTAAATCGGTGATGCTTCACCTCGCCGCTGTCAACCGAAAACGCCGGATCACTTGCGAAAAGCACAGCAAGCAGATGCTCTGTTCAATAAAGACATCATTCCATTTGTCGCTATTTTGTTTCCTTCTTTGAATGTTTTCTGGCCGCGAAGTAAATGCAGCCGGCCTCGCGAAAGCAATCGCAAACAAACCCCCTCGAACGCGCCCCCCCTTGACATCGTCGCCCCACTCGTATTAGGTGCGGTGCCGGTGCTTCGAGGCGCGTTTCGGAGTGCTTTGTGCGCACGGAAGGCAGCGAACGGGCGTACGCACTTGAGAATCGTATTTTAGCAAAAAGCAGTCCAGCTCGCTAGGCCTTACTCGTATTGCATGCTCCACTGTCGCTTGCCAACCGCCATGTTGCTTTTGGGGTGCTCACTGTGATTACCTGCTGATTGCGTGCCGTGTGAATGCCCATGAGGTTGTTAGTATAACGAAGGGGGGGGGGGGGGGTAGCAATATCTGTGACGGCTTCTGACTACCCCAAGTGTAGTACCCTACGACAACCCTTTTGTTGAGAGTGTGCGCGTGCTAACGCGAGCCACGGCCACTTCTACACGGAGCCTTCTGGAACAGAACCATGTCCTACTTATCGGAATTATGGTATATTCGGCTGGTCACTTTCGAGCACTCCAATCATCCGAGTCGTAGCTACCAGATCCCGGAGCGCCTCCGCATCGGAGCGAGAGAATCGGCGCGCCCAGCCGAACGCTCCTCAACTTTTCACAGCGGCAAGCCGAGCGGATAGAGGGTGGCGTGCGCCACTAGAGGACGGCGCGAGCCGCCCTCTAGCGGAACTTTCGCTCTTTGGATTCAAAGGGTTGAGCAGCATTCAGTGATCCATCCATCCATCCGTAAATCCTTGAAAAATGGCAACCGTCAACGCCAAGGAGGTTAGAAGGGTAGGAGAGGGCATGACGTCGGCCGCGTAGCCTCCACAAGCCATGCTCCCTTTGTATCATGCCGATATGGTACCGCATGCCAATCTTATCATTCTGCTTATGCTATGTCATCTATAGCACTGAGTCATGCCGCAGGTACCGCCCCCCTGTTTTCGGCTATATAAGCGATGCCAAATAAACCTTGGATGTTGTTGCGTTCACGAAGTCAGCAGTGTCGGACTGACTTTCTTGTCAGCTGAGAGCCAGCTGATACATGGTGTCAGAAGTGGCCCACGCGACCACACCAGAACCGTCAGCAGGAGGCAGTCATGGAACCACTCAAGCAGCCCGACCCTTTGCTCCTGTCGGAAAACGTTCAGAAGAACTGGATGCTCTTCAAACAGAAGTTCGAGCTGTACCTGCAAGCGACGGCGCCAGACAAACCAAGAACGGAAGCTACCAAGACGGCCACACTTTTGACTATCGCCGGTGATGACGCCCTAGAGATCTTCAATAACTTCGTCTTCGCTGAGGGTGAAAGCAAGGAGGATTACAAGACCCTTGTCGCAAAGTTCGAGGACTACTGCGCGGACCAGCAGAACGAGGTGTACGAAAGATACGTATTTCGGACAAGAACGCAAGACGAGGCGGAACCGGTGGAGCAGTTTATCCGCGTCCTCAGGAAACAAGCAAGGTACTGCAACTTCGGACAACTTTCAGATTCAATGATTCGCGATCAAATCGTCTTCGGCACTAACAACAAAAAGTTACGGGAGAAAATGCTTAGGGACAAGGATTTGACGCTCCAGAAAGCAGAACAAACCTGCAAAGCCGCAGAAGCCTCCGCTAAACAAAATGAAGCATGGTATGCCCACGAAGAAAAGGTGGACTCAACCACAAAAGGCTACCAGCGCCGCTCAGATGCTTCAAGAACCGAACAGTGCTTCAAGTGCAACAGGAGACACGAAAAGAGGAAATGCCCCGCTTTTGGGAAGACTTGCTACGCCTGTCAGGGACGCAAACACTTCGCAGCTTCTTGCAACAAACAAGTCAGCGAGGTGAAGCACGACGACGAGGGCTTCGACATCTTGGACCTGGGTGTTTGTGGCATCGAGAAGGAACGGGACTGGATTGTCAAGGCCCAGCTAGCGGAGCAAGTGGTCTCGCTGAAGGTAGACACCGGCTCCCAAGCCAACCTGTTGCCCCTGTCGGTGTACAAGAGACTGCACCCTAAGCCGTTTTTAAGACCAAGCCACGCGGTCTTGCGCTCGTACAGCGGCAATATCATCAAACACTGCGGCGTCACAACACAGGAGGTTACGATCAACCAGCATCACTGCCGCGTCGACTTTTTCATTGTTAAACGAAGTCAGGCCATTCTCGGGCTACAGGCAAGTGAGCTCCTGGGACTGGTGTCCCGAACGGTGAACTCTGTAAGCACGGGCAGCGCCGTTCCGGTGACCCAAGAATTCGCCCACCTGTTCCAAGGCACCGGCTGCGTAAAGCGACGGTACCGAATGGTACTACATGACGATGCCGTGCCAGTGGTTCAGCCTGCACGACGGGTGCCCTTGGCACTGCGAGAGCCCCTGCGGGAAGAACTGCAGCGCATGGAGAAGGCCACCATCATCCGGAAAGTGGATGAACCCACTGACTGGGTAAGCCCTCTTGTTATTGTGAAGAAAAAAGATGGCAGCCTTAGGCTATGCATGGACCCTAGAAATATTAACGCGTGCTTGAAGCGTGAACACTACCAGATGCCACAGCGCGAAGATATCGAGGCTGAGCTTCACGGGGCGAAGTTTTTTTCCCGGCTTGACGCTAACTCGGGGTTTCATCAGATTCCAATGGACGAAGCTACGTCAAGGATCTGTACGTTCGGCACTCCGTTCGGTCGCTACCGTTTTCTTAGGCTTCCGTTTGGAATCTCGTCAGCACCCGAGGTGCTGAAACACTGAGAAACACCGAGGTGCTGAAACACAGAAAACACTGAGCGAGATATTTGACCCATTACCAGGAGTAAGGGTTTACATAGACGATATTTTGGTGTGGGGAAGCTCTAAACACGAGCATGACGAGCGCCTCAAGGTCACTCTCCGTGAAGCGGAACGAGCGGGCTTGACGTTCAACTTGGCAAAGTGCAAGTTCGGCGTGCAGGAAATTTCCTTCCTGGGGGACGTGATAAGCGAGGTCGGAATCCGCCCAAATCATAGGTTGGTGAGTTGCCTGCGCGAGATGCCAGCACCAACCGATAAGCTCGGCGTACAGCGGATGTTGGGAGTGGTAAACTATTTTGGAAAATATTTACCTGCGCTCAGCGAGAAAACAAAGCTTCTACGAAGTTTAATACGTAAGGACACTGTCTTCGAATGGACAGAAAACCACGCACAAGAATGGACTGTGCTCTGCGAAGCACTCGGCAAAGAACCATTACTAGCGATTTTTGACCCCACAAAAGAAACAAAGATAACGTCAGACGCCTCAAAGGATGGCCTCGGATCGGCGATACTGCAGCGTCATGGTAGTAGCTGGCGTCCTATTGCCTATGCCTCCCGGGTAATGACAGAGGCGGAAAGTCGTTACTCACAGATTGAAAAAGAAGCCATGGGAATTACGTACGGCTGTGAAAAATTCCATCACTTCATCTATGGACGGCGCGTTTTCATAGAAACCGATCATAAACCTCTTATCGCTATTTCATCGAAGGACATAGGGGACATGCCACCAAGACTACAACGGTTTTTCCTTCGCCTGATGATTTACGATTACAAACTACAGTTTATTCCAGGCAAAGAATTGGTCCTGGCTGACATGCTCTCAAGGGCGGCGCCTGCTGCGTCAGGGGACACCGCTGGCTTTATCGACGTTCAGGTACATGCTGTCGGCATTCTGTCATCCTTAGTAAGTGAAGCAACAAAACTGCGTTTCGCTGAAGAAACCCGCAAGGATCCAGAGTTGCAAAAGGTTGTCGAAAACATATCCAGCAATAAAGCCGTCGAAGGGGAACTTAAACCGTTCGCTTCGGACCTTTCCGTAGTGGAAGGAATTTTGTTGAAAGGGTGCAAAGTTGTCGTTCCCAAGAAACTACGACCGGAAATGCTCGGACGGATTCACGAAGGCCATCTGGGCTTAAACAAGTGCAAGGCTAGGGCACGACGTCTAGTTTTCTGGCCAGGCCTAAATTCAGACATTGAGTCGCTTGGAAGAAAGTGTGCCGCATGTACAACTTATGCATACAAGCAACCAAGCGAACCACTTTTGCTTCGTCAAGTTCCAGATTATCCCTGGTACAGGGTCGGTGTAGATCTTTTTCATTACGCGGGAAGTGCGTACCTCGCAGTGTTTGATGCACACTCCAACTTTCCAGAAGTTGAAAAGCTCGGCGACACGTCTGCAAGCACGGTTATCGGCAAACTGTGTGCCATCTTCTCAAGATACGGAATTCCGGTGGAGGTTTGCACAGATAATGGACCCCAGTTTTCGTGCCGGGACTTTGCCGCGTTTGCCAACCGATATGATTTTAAGCACATCACCTCAAGCCCCGAGTTTCCTCGTTCCAACGGTCTCGCGGAGAAGGGCGTACAGATTATTAAGAGGCTCCTAAAGAAAACTGGAGATGCGCGTGAAGATTTCTGGTTGGGCTTACTCGGCTACCGTTCTTCCCCTCTAGAGGACGGCCGTGCGCCGGGAGAGCTGCTGCAAGGCAGACGCCTGCGTACGCGACTTCACGACTTCAGCTTACAGCCGGCATCCACCGTCAAGAAGCATCGCCAGCCAGAGACCGCGGGGCAACGACTCCAGCCGCTCTATAAAGGACAAGTCGTCCGAGTGAGGAGTAAGACCTGGTCTTCAAAGGCTAAGGTCACGGGTACAGCGGCGCCCAGATCGTACAACGTGGAGACGGAAAGTGGAACAACTCTACGGCGGAACCGTCAGCATCTTCTGGCAACACCGGAAACATTCAATCGCGACTCGTCAGCTGACAGCGATGCTAGTGACTTTGAAGACGCCGGAGCGGAAGTACAACTTCATCCAGGGGCTCAAGGAAGAGCCAACGAAACTCCTCGTGCGCAGACAACTCCTCAAACTGTTCAAGGAACACCAAACGCGGCTCCACCAGCGCCGAGAAGATCTACGCGAGCTACGGTTGCACCCAAGCGCTTGCAGTACGGGCAGCATTTCGAACAAATTATTTAGCATTGTTTCCCCTTGTCGTTTGTTAACCTATAGTTGTTTTATGTCTTTCTTACTAAACAAAGGGGGATGTATCATGCCGATATGGTACCATATGCCAATCTTATCATTCTGCTTATGCTATGTCATCTATAGCACTGAGTCATGCCGCAGGTACCGCCCCCCTGTTTTCGGCTATATAAGCGATGCCAAATAAACCTTGGATGTTGTTGCGTTCACGAAGTCAGCAGTGTCGGACTGACTTTCTTGTCAGCTGAGAGCCAGCTGATACACCCTTGACGCCTCGCCTCTTTCTTATTTTCCTCCTTACTCTGCTCACTTACCATGCCAACGTGGCCACATCAAGTGACCGTAGCTAGCCTCCGTCTTGCTGTGGTGTACTAGAATACACAACAGTCTAGCCTTCGATCTGATAAAACCTACCGGATGGAGCGCGCGCAAGCCTGCAAGGAGTCCTCCTACAATCAACCATCCATATCGCACATGACATGTCACGCGCACCAATCACCAGAGAGATCTGCGGTCACGCTGGGCACAAAATTGTTTAAACTTTTTATGACTAGGCTTCACCAATATTGCAACGTGCCCCCTCCTAGTACTTCTAACCTCCTTGGTCAACGCGAACGCTGATAAGGTCATCGCAATCCAGCCGTGCCAAGCGGAAGTTCCTGCGAAACTATCAAAAAAAGAAACATTACAGCTTGAAAACTCTCGTACTTTTGTACTTACCGCTTTGTCCGAGTAGGTTCGCACTATAAAAACATAGGCCTCGACCTTGGGCACCGTACAAGGAAACGTTGGTACAAGGCAACTTTGGTACAAGGCAACGTTAGGTACAAGGTGCGTCAAACAACTCGGCAAACTTCGCTTCGCAAACACGGTCCTCGTCGTCGTAGTTCGAGCTGCTGGTGTTGTCGCTGTCCGCTAGCTTCGCCAGCAGCACTGGCGGTGCCACCACTAACATTAAACGTCTTCGTTTCAACGACATTTCACCTCAATTCGGGGAGCGCAACACAACGGTGACGGCGTCGAGACTGACGGCTGTTTTTCGCAGCCCTCTTTTTGCGGAGTAGCTGCGTTCTCTCCGTCCGCTTCCAACACAAAAGCAAAATGGCGGAATGGCTGGAGTCACGTGACCGGCCGGCAGCCAGATCTCTCGCGCGCTCCCACTTCCAAGTCAGAGCGCCTCAAACCGCTCCGATTCGGAGGGCGGCGATAGTCGGAGCTTCGAGAGCGCTCCGAAAGAACCAGGCGAATATACTTGGAGCGCCTGGCATCGACCTGTCGAATGCACACCGGCTTTTCAGAGCGCTCCAAGAGGCCGAAAAACGACCAGCCGAAATATATCATTAGTAAAGCGGGCGCATCGCGCTTAGTCCATCAAGGTGTCCTGTCTCCCTTGGTACTTAACACTGGCGACGAGGTAAATATGCAGTATCGGCGGCTACAACGCTCAACCGTTCAAGGTATGTCTTTCAACGTACAGTTCAAAAAGTTTTCACCTAATGACCCTGCGTCTTGGCCACAGTATATCGAGCGCCTGGAATTCTTTTTCGTGGCGAACAACGTAACCACGGCAGAGAAGAAACGAGCCGTCCTGTGTAGCGTCTGTGGCTCTGCAACGTACGCCATCTTGCGCTCTTTGTGTTCGCCGAGCTCGCCAGCCGAAACGCCGTATAAGGAGATAACACGAAAGCTTCAGGAGCACTTCGTTCCTCAACTGTCGGTGACCTTCACACGTTTCCAGTGCGTCAGACGCGACCAACGTCCAGGCGAGCCTGTGGCGACCTTCGTGGCAGACCTCCGACGCTTGTCCGAGCACTGCGAATTCGGAGGAATACTCGACGACATGCTCAGAGACCGCGTCATTTGTGGCCTTCATGACGACGCGTTACAACGAAGTTTGCTCGTCGAGCCCACACTAACGCTGAATAAGACCTTCGACATGGCAAGAGCGGCCGAGGTGGCCAAGTCGCAAGCCACTGAAATTCGCGCCTCTGCGTCGACATCGGGGCTGCAGTGGATCCAGAAATGTATCGAGTGGAAGGTGACGCAGCGCCACGGTCGCTTCATCGAACCACCTCACCGTGTTGCGTTTGTGTTGCCGGTCGCCTGCCGCAACCGGCAACACAACAGCAACACGGAAGAGCACCGTTCAAGGGAACTTTTTCAGAATGCGTCTGACGTTGCAATGGTGCGCATGACCCCAAAACTTGCCGCTTTGCTGGAGCTGTCTGTCACTTTTGCAATAACAAGGGGCATATTACCGCAGCATGCCGCCAAAAGGCGAGAGCCGGACATCGACGGTCAGCTGTTGGCAATAACAAGTTGGACACGATGGGACCATTACCGAAGGATTATGATGTCTTCACCATCGAGCCGCCTGTGTTCTGCGATGTTTTGATCAATGGCCGTAGCCTGCGGATGGAAATCGACTCTGGATCGGCCTTCACCGTCATCAACTCGCGTGTTATGCGCCAGCCCCACATCTCCAAGAGCTGCCTCAGACCGTGCGCCTTCCGACTACGCTCCTATACGCAGCAGTGTCTTGAAGTTCTCTGAAGTGTAACAGCCGACGTGTCCTTCAAGGAGAAGAAAATGAAATTGGAACTTGTGGTTGTCAAAGGGTTTGGTGTGAGCCTGCTACGGCGCGACTGGTTCCGGTCCTTGGGCATCTCCTTGGAGGGGTTCCCTTATGTCGACAAATCGCCGCTTTAGGTGAAAGCGGCTGCGGTTCACAACGTGATTGACGAGTTTCCCGAGCTTTGTCAGCCAGGACTCGGAAGAAGCAGGCGACCCCCTGTTCGTGTGGATGTCGACCCTGCCGCGACTCCCAAATTTTTCAAAGCTCATCAGATTCCACTTCCGCTGCTGCCCAAAGTGGACGACGCCATCGACAAACTGGTCGAACAAGGAATTTTTGAACCAATACGGCTTTCCTCATGGGCGACCCCAGTCGTGCCTATTCTCAAAAAGAACGAGAACATTCGCTTGTGCGGTGATTACAAGTGCACAGCGAACCCAGTCATTCGATGGGAAACACACCCTTTACCAACTGCCGATCAACTGTTCGCCAAACTGGCTGGGTGTGAGAAGTTTTCACAGTTGGATCTAGAACAGGCCTATCACCAGAAGGTAGTGGATCAAGCTACAGCGGACTTCCAAACAGTCAACGCTCATCGGGGTCTCTTCAGAGTCACCCGTCTGCAGTTCGGCGTCGCTACGGCTGTGGCAATCGTCCAACGCTATATTTTATTTTATTTTATTTTATTTTTATTTACAGAGTACCTACATCGCCTCGAGGGCATTATTGTAGGATGGGCAGGAAATAACACACATACACGAAAAACACAGTGATCACTTGTCCGCACAGATTAGATATACAGTCGAGAAAAAAATACACTGTTGTCCAAGGTGCTCACTACATCATCAGGCAGCAAGTTCCACTCTCTAATTGTCTTTACAAAAAAAGAATGACAGAAGCTGTTTGTTTTATAGAAATATTCAAAAACTTTTCTAGAGTTATCACACCTAGCTGAAACATACGTTGGCCCCAAAAGATACCCATTCTTATTAATACCAGTATTATTATAATAAATGCGGTGGAAAAACTTCAATCTTAATTTTTGCCTTCGAATGCTCAAGGGCTCCCATCCTAGCATGGTTTTAACCTCTGTCATACTAGCGTATGGATCGTAGTTGTTACTAACAAATGGCGCTGCTTGATTTTGAAGTTTCTCTAGTCTGTCAATCAAATACTGCTGGTAGGGATCCCATAATACGCTCGCATAATCAAGCATTGACCTTACGTGCAAGAAGTAAAGAGTTTCTTTTACGTCTCGGGACGCGTGTTTGAAATTTCTACGGATAAAAAATAACATTTTACTGGCCTTATTAATTTGTCGTCAATATGTTTATTCCATTTGAGTGATTGGTGAAAATAAACGTCAAGATATTTACATTCAGAGACATTACCGATTGTCAGGTTTTTGATAGTATAACTTGTAAAAAATTTAGAGACGTTTCTAGCGAAATTAGCGAGGTTACATTTTCCAATATTTAGGCTCATGTTCCACTGGTTACACCAGTATGCTACCTTACCTAGATCGCCCTGTAGGATCTCGATGTCTCTCGTCGAATTTATTTCCCTCTAAATAAAGCAATCATCAGCAAAAAGTTTTATTGTCGACTGAATATTTTGTACAATGTCGTTAACGTAAATTAAAAACAGTAAAGGTCCAAGAACACCACCCTCGGGGACCCCTGAGGTCACGGAAACGACTGAGGATTTACTTCCATTTAAGACAACACATTTCTCACGGTCACTTAAGTAATTTCGTATACAACCTAGTACCTTACTATTAACATTTATAGAGGCTAGTTTTATCAGTAGAAGGTTGTGTGGTACTGTGTCGAAAGCTTTGCTGAAATCTAGAAAGGCTGCGTCTACTTGCGTATTTTCGTCATTTGCTTTTAATAGGCAATGCTGGAACTCTGCTAACTGCGTGTTGCATGAAAATCCACTCCGAAAGCCATGCTGGGATGGAGTAAAAAAGTTAAAGCTATCAAGGTATTTGAACAATGCGTTATATAAAATATGCTCAAAAAGCTTAGAGCAAACTGACGTTAGTGATATAGGCCTATAATTTTCTACAAGTTTCTTATCTCCGGATTTAAAAACAGGAATCACATTCGCCGTTTTCCAATCTATGGGGACCAACCCTGTCTCAAGTATTGTTTTAAATATAATAGACAAGTGCTGTGATACAATCTCGGAACACTTATTGAGAATAACAGGTGATATAAAATCAGGGCCAGTAGCCTTTGACTGATCTAGGCAGCGCCAAAGAGAGGCAATACCATGAACATCAATATCAATATCCGCCATCATGCCAGTAGAAAAACTATTCGGTGACTCCACCAGATACCCAGAGAGTCCCGGAGAAAATGCCGATTTAAAGTAAGAATTGAAGCATTCTGCCTTCTCCGCATTTTCCTTTAACGTTTGGCCGTCAACATTAAGAACTGGGATAGAAATATCGTCTTTCCTGCATGTCTTCACATATTTCCGGAATACCTTTGGGTTTCGTTTAAGATCGAAAATTACCCTGGTAAAAAAAGACTGCTTAGCTAACTTTATTGCTACTTTTAATTGGTTATTAATATATTTTAACACATGCAAATTAAGGACAGAGTTATCTTTACAACGTTTTTTGTAAGCCCGCCTTGCTTTCCCCAGTAGTTTCCGTATTTCGGCATTAAACCAAGGTCTTTGTTTACGCCTGTGCCGCAAAGATCTTGAAGGTACAAAAGCCTCAACTAATTCCAATATTTTATTGCGAAACAAAATCCAAATCTCCTCTGTTGTACAAGACTCAGATAAACATGAAAAAGTTAAAAAATATGTCTGTAAGGCAGTATTGATGGCGTCAAAATTACCCTTTTCATAGATGAGTACTCTGCGTGGCTCTTGTTTCTGTTCAGGTACGCCTGATACATTCAACTCGGTAACAACAACATCGTGATCACTTATTCCAGGATATACCTGGGCGCTAGAAACAATATTTGGGTCATTGCATAAGACGAGATCTAAAACTGCCGTCAGTCGAGTCGGCTTAATGACATACTGAATCAGACCAAATGTATCTATCAATTCTGTGAACATAGAACACGCGATTTGCTTCTTTCCGCCGTCCCAGTTAACCACGAAAAGTCTGGCAAATTAAAATTGCCTCCCAGAAAGAGGGTGTCTGGTATCACTGATAACATATCTGAGAGTAAAGAAATGCTTGTTTCACTTCCGTCTGGCGGACGGTAGATAGTTCCAAACACCACAGTGTTCCCTTTGGCAAAACGAACGCGACACCACACCGAACTCAGAGTCATTCTCAAATTTAACTGCACAGCTACTCCACCAAGATGAAACCAGCAAAAAGACTCCTCCTCCGTGTCGATGTCTGTCTTTACGATATACCGTAAATCCCGACGGAAAAACCTCAGGGTCAGAGACCGTATCGTCCAACCAAGATTCGGTCCCCATAACAATCTGTGGATTCAAAGTCATTATTAAAGATGCAAGCTCATCAACTTTATTCATGATGTTACGGCAGTTCACAACCAAAACCGTAGGTTTCTCTGGCATATCAACAATGTCATCTTTGCTTGGTCCGTTGATGGGAGGTAGATGTCGTCATTCTGCTACGATCTCGGGATTAGTCGGACGATGCAGGACTGGTTGACACGTGTCGCTGTCCCAGATAAACGTCTGCCCATTTATTACTAACTTATCATAGTTCAAATAGACCCGGTTTTCTTTATTTTGCCTTTTCTCTTTTGCGTAGTTCCAGAGTTGGCGCCGTTTTTCTTAAACTAGGGGACTGAAGTCTTCCGAGACGCTGATCGGGGTATTTTTAAACCTAAATGGCATTTCGCCTCACATTTTCTCTGGCTTTCCAGCCAGCAAAATGCGCGACGATAAGCCGATTTTTTTTTCATCTTTAAATGCTCCCACGCGGTGGGCTCTTTCGATCTCAACATTGTTGATAGATAACGTTTCTTTACAGATGTCCCTTATTAGTTTCTCAGATTCATCCCATGTCTCTTTCCTGGAGTTGTCAGGAACACCAAAAAATACTAAGTTTGATCGTCGACTATTTTCAAGGGGGAACGCGACAGAACAGCACACGACAAAACAGCACGCGACAAAACAGCACGGTCAAAACAGAACGCGTCGAAACAGCACAGAGTCAAAACAGCACGGCGACAAAACAGCACGCGTCAAAATAGCACGCGACAAAACAGCACAGCGTCAAAACGGCACAACGACAAAAGAGCACGTGCCAAAACAGCACGGCGTCAAAACAGCACAGTGACAAAACAGCACGCATGTAGCAACTTCGAGCGCGGTCTTCACCTCTCTCTGCGCAAATAATTTTGAACCTCCCTGACCCTTTCATAGTTTGGTGCTAGGTTGTAAAGGATGGGGGCATACTTGAAGAGATTGGGTAGTTAAAGGTGATATCTTCGCGTCGATGTTGGCCGCGTTGTCTGGTTTTTTTCTGTAGGACCAGAGAAAGCGGAAAAGTTATTGGAAAAAAGAAATTCAAAAGTTCAAGTTATGAACCGTCTGGTTTGCGACGGTCCGGTAAGGTTCCATAGTACTCGTCGTTTCGTAATACCACCAAAGCGTAGAACGCCCCCCCCCCCCCCCCATAAAAAAAAAAAGAAAAGAGCGGTATTTGCGCCGATTACAAATGCATTGATAGAACCGGTAAGATAAGGTGACTTTAATGTTGAGCGTATTCAAGGTGTACCATGGGCACCGATTCTGCGCGGTTCATTCGCCGTGAATAAAATGTGCAGAAAACTCGCGGCTGCAGCTTGCAGGCGAGAAGTCGTTTTGAATTAAATACACAGATTATTTCCGACGAAGGCCTCGATCGAGGGGAAACCGGTGAAGCAGAAACAAGCCATCCGATTAATTAGTTTTTTTTTTTTTTTTGTAGACGACAGTGTTAGCAAATTTGCGCGTCAAAATTAGCAGAACTGCTCGAGAAATAGCCAGAATACGCTAAAGCAAAGGCTTCGGTACTGCCCAGGGCACCTTCATATGCCCATCGAATATACCCCCCCCCCCCCCTCCGACCTTGCTCCCAAGAAAACGGATTTGACAAATCGGCCCTCGACGAGTTGGCTTTCAACGAATTGGCTTAGACCCTCCATTCCTTTACAGTGCCTACAATCAGACATACATTTTAGAGCGGAGCTCTTAGGGGCCCGTTTCTGGCTTGAGCGGTGTCGGCGTCGCCGTCGCCGTCGGCGTCGGCATCGGCGTCGGCATCGGCGTCGCCGTCGGCGTAACTGCGAGGTCACGTGACCCCCGAGGTCACGCGACCCCCTTGAGGTCACGTGACCCCCTCAGGTCACGTGACCCGCCTCAGATCACGTTACCCCCTGAGGCCACGTGACCCCACTGAGGCCATGTGACCCCCCTGAGGTCACGTGACCCCCTTGGGGACACGTGACCTCCCGAGTTCATGTGACCCCCCTGAAGTCACGGGACCCCCGAGGTCTCGTGACCCCCTGACGTCACGCGAGCCCCCTTAGGTCACGTGACCTCAAGTAGTCACCTTTCCCTCAGTACGCTTCCATTTTCCTCCTCAAGAGCTGCGCTCTAACCGGCGTTACAAACGGCTTTTATTTTTCTAACTACATATACGCTATATATAGGGTTCAGCGTTTTCGGCTTAAAGAAAATAAAACCGGGAAAATTACGCCGAATTATTTTTTTCACATTCGGTTTTAACTGAAAAAGGTCAGTATTTTCGAGGGAGTTCGGAGAGGCCGGGAAGGGGGGGGGTATGCTACGACTCATTACTGACCGCATGCCACTTCCTTTTTTTCAGCTTTCAGCTTGTTTTCAGTGTGTCTCCGAGATCGGTTCAACGTTCAACAAAAGCTCCGGGGGCCCAAGGGTCTTCAGGACGATATCTGGGTGTTTCACCTGATATGAAGTTGTGTGCCGAATTCTTTCTTCAAATAAGAGAGTTTAGTCGTGAACTGAACCATGCAAATCAAGGACGTCCGTAAATGCCGCACATATTTAACACCCCTAGCTTCCGTCTACTATAGGAGGGCATACATACGATTGTTTTATTGTCGTTTCTGCGGTCGGCGCGAATTTACCACCCCTCGCAGTCGTGAAAATGGCGAAAAAACGCACTAAGTACAATGCTTTCAAATTTCTGGATTTTGATATTTGCCTCTCCGACCGAAGTGGTAGTGAAGCTCATGTACGTCCAGTGTACGTACAAATACGAGCACACGACGATAATGTCAGATCACGATAGGGTCCCAGTGTGCCTGGCAGAACAGGTCACTTCGGTTGCCACAGACAGCCACATTCCTGGTTTACTCACTATACATTTTAAACAAACGCTTTTAAATACTGCATTTTCGTCAGTATACCGGTTTTCGTCAATACACAGAAAAGAATCGAGAAGTTTATGAGTCTACAAATATTCACCGCAATAAACCGAAAAATTCTGTTCGGAATAAGAACGTTTTTTTATTCCAAACAGAAAAAGGTACGCCGAATATAGAAATAATAAAAACCGAAAATGCCAAACCCTAGCTATATTGTCAATCTCCTGTTTTGACACAGTGTTGTTTTGTCGCGTTGCTGTTTTGACGCCGTTCTCTTCTGTCGCTGTGCCCATATGACGTTGTGCTGTTTTGTCGCTGTGCTGTTTTGACGCTGTGCTGTTTTGACGCCGCGCTGTTTTGGCACGTGCTCTTCTGTCGCTGTGCTGTTTTGACGCTGTGCTGTTTTGTCGCGTGCTATTTTGACGCGTGCTGTTTTGTCGCCGTGCTGTTTTGACGCTGTGCGGTTTTGACGCGTGCTGTTTTGACCGTGCTGTTTTGTCGCGTGCTGTTTTGTCGTGTGCGATTCTGTCATAGTGCCGTTCAAGGTCGTCTAATTTGGCTTCAAGTTTCAACTCACTTTCTTCAACATGTGCCACGCGTCTTTCTAGTACCTTTGTCTTTGAAATTACGCCATCAATCTTATTCTCAAGATCAGCTTGCCGTTTTTCTATGCCTGTTAGCTTTGCCAAAACACTTGCTTGTCCCGACTGCAATTCTAAGAGTATGCTTTCAATTTTTCCCAACTGTTCAGTTTCAGCCTTAGACATGGGACCGGGGTTTGATTCCACGTCCCCTGCCAAGAGGAGCAATATGCCTTCGTGAACAAGACAGGAGTCGAAGAACACGGATGTTAACCCATCAATCACCCCGACACGAAAAAGATAAGAACACCAGTGCAGCATGCGTTCGTTGATAGGGCACGACACTCTCACAAGCAGTACATTACCTGTTCGATAGCATTTAGAGCATTTCAAGTAACCAACCTGATACATGAAGCAACGTGAGTACGGGCCGAAAAGACTGCCGTGCCCCAGTTTTGCCGGACGAGGTAGCTCCCTTTTGTGGCTGTGGCGGGGCGGATCCGGAAGTGTCCCTCGGAGCCTAGCCATCTGCCGGTCTTCAAGGAAACCCAGAAAAGTTTCTGCAGCCTCCGCTGGCTCGAATGGGCTGCCGGTTGACATTGTCGCAAATCCGGATAGTGGCGTCCATGGCTCCGAGATGGGGAACGCCGCCGCCCCGTCGAAGTTCGCCGCGACAGCAAGGATCCCGGCGAGCACCTGATACATGAAGCAACGTGAGTACGGGCCGAAAAGAGTGCCGTGCCCCAGTTTTGCCGGACGAGGTAGCTCCCTTTTGTGGCTGTGGCGGGGCGGATCCGGAAGTGTCCCTCGGAGCCTAGCCATCTGCCGGTCTTCAAGGAAACCCAGAAAAGTTTCTGCAGCCTCCGCTGGCTCGAATGGGCTGCCGGTTGACATTGTCGCAAATCCGGATAGTGGCGTCCATGGCTGCGACATGGGGAACGCCGCCGCCCCGTCGAAGTTCGCCGCGACAGCAAGGATCCCGGCGAGC